TCACAGGTGGTCTGGCCCCCACAGGCCTCCCTATATCAGAGCACAACCTGCTCCCATAGGACCTGAGAGCCTGGAGCAGAAAGTGTGCTTCCAGCTGGCATCTGACTCCCAGAAGGAGGAAGCAGGCAGCGGCTGAGGCTCATGTGCCCATCTCCTTTGCTGAAGCCTATTCAGAGTCGGCACGCCCGTTCCCCTGGCCTGCACTGCTCCTATAGGGGCTCCCTCCACATGGAAGGAAGCACAGGGAGGATGAAATGTGTATCCCCCTCAGTATCCCCATCAGGAACAACCCTCTGTGTCTCACTCTTCACTTGTTTGCTTACTTCCCTCAGCGGCCTGTGGGGCCCTTGAAACAGAGATGCTCTCACCCCTAGCACAAGGCCTGACACACTGGAAGTGTTGAGGAAGGGGTGGAATGAATGATCTTCTAATGCCAGTGTTTTCCTGAAGGAATACCCTTTCAGGGCAGAGAAGATGGCTTTTCCTCTCATCTTATCTTCCTAATAACACCCAGATGATGCCTTTATCATGTTTTCCAAGTCCTCTCCCTTTTCTGTACCATGGCGGGTCAGACAAGGAGCAGGCGTTGCCAGGTGATTCAGGAAATGGTTTTCCCCAGACCATGCTCTTCCTCCCTCCTTACCCAGGCCAAGCCCTGGCAGTGCACAGGTGAAGGCACCTGTTAGTATTGTACGGGAAGAGGCAGCCCCAGCCCTGGTCCTGCTGCCCCGTCTGTGAGGATTGGCAATGCCTGCCTTGCCACCTTGGCGAGAATCACTGAGAGCTGCCTTGTGACGTCACTTTGGAAAATGGAAAACACTCTGAGGATGAGAACCAATGGAACCTGTAGGGATGTGCTAGGGCTACTTCATGGCTGTGGAGTGGCCAAGGACGATCCAGACCCACCAGGATGACCGAGGACAGTGCCTGCACAGGAACTCACTGGCAGTGTTCCAAATGTTTGCTTGTGATAAAATTAAAAAGTGTGTCCCAATGAGGGCTGGAGTCCCAGGCTGGCCCACAAACACCTGTATGACTCATCAGTAATCATACTAAGTATCAACTAAATTCTGGGTATGTGCTAGACACATTCAACCTATTATCTCAATGCTTTACAATAACCCATCAAAGGAGAATTGTCCTCCTTTCTACCAGTAAAGAAACTGAGACTTATCAACATATAATGACTTGCCCAAGGTCAATTACTTGCCCACAGTCAGGATGCATAGCTCCATGCCATACTGTCACTCTTGGAGGGGGAGGGCTGCTGTGAGCCTGCAGGGATGGAGAGGGATGGGGAATTTGGAGTGACTGCAAATCTTCCCTCAAGATTATTTATAAAGTCAGCCATTTATCCTCCCCTCCCTGTGGGCCACCCTTACCCAGAGAGAGAGGAGTAGGCTCCCTCCTTTCAGCTTTTTCCAAGCTCCAGAGCAAGATCAGTGCTGGCCTAGAAATGCCAGTCTTGTCTTCCGAGATCCTGGATGAATGGAGCAAGCTGGATCCCCATGGTCTTAGGCACAGGCTTCTGCAGGGCGCTGCCTCCAGCATTGAAGCCCCAGGCTCGGTGGGGTTAACAAGCCAGCCATGCCTGACTCTGCAGGAACTGAGAATTGGGATCTTTAAAAATGTTTCACCCGAACAAAGGGCCACCACCTGTAGTCATTCCGTGAGGATTTAATAAATGGATGAGGGGATTTGAAAAGTTTAGATACTGGAAGGAGTGTTTTGGATATTGAATGTGGGAAGATCTTTTTTTTTTCTGTCATTTTTGTCCACTCCTATTTCTACATGTTTCCTGGACAGGAAACTAAGAGAACAATAGACTTAAGGTTCCAAATAGAGAACAACTAAGCAGCAGGAATTGGCTTGGCGGAGGATAGATAAGCAGGGTGCTGTTCACCTTTGGGACGTGCTGCTGCTGTGTGGCTGGGGCCTGTCCCTGGGGATGTGTAGCAGTAATTCTCCTTGACTGAGAATCTCCCTGTCAGAATCATCTTTTGAGGAGATGGCTCTGGTTGTGTCATTGGCTTCCCAGTGCCAGCTCCTTTTCCCAGCAGGTCTGTCCCAGCCTGCTCCCCTCTGCACCCCAGTTCTGGGTGCCCAGAGCTAATGGGAATCCATGTATGTACCCTGTGGATATCACAGGCCCTACACTAAGCCCTTGACCTTCATCTTCCTGTTGGTCCTCAAATAGAAGAGTGATATCATCAGGCCACCATTCCCTGACCCCTGACACTATCACTCCACCTGTTTCTCCACCAGTCTCACCTCAGCTCTATCTCCTTCCTGGCCTTCTTAATCCTTAATTAAAGGGAGATTAGTCTCTCCCTTCTCTGTGTTCCAGTTGCATCTATACATCACCCTGGAATAGCACACATTTGTGGCATTGTGGTGATTGGTCCATAAGCATATTAGTCATTCTTCCATTTAACTCATTTATTGAGTACCTCCTGAGTGGTCTTTGTTGCACCCATTGCACTTGGGGATCCTTTAGGGCAAAAAAAACATGCCTTGTCCTTATGCGTTGTATATCCCCAGCATGCAGCACTGTGCCTGGCTCAGAGTGGACCCTCAGGAAATGTTTGCTGGGAAGACCTTTAAATGGTGTCTAGCCATACAACACTGTTTCAGTCCTTCCAACCACAGACACTGGAGAATGGGAAGCCTATCCCTTAGCTCTTAGCTTAGTGGGGAATCACAGCTGTGGTTCTGGATGCTTAACTCTCAGTGATTCCCCCTTCATTCTCAGAAATCCAAGCTACAATTAACCCCATTAATGTGTGCATCATTCAGTGTGAGCTGTGGTGTGCATTCAGTCTTTCAGTGGGTGTTGAGTACCCTGTGGGTATCAGGCTCTGTGCTGGGAGCTAGAGCCACAGAGATGAATTAAGACACAGGTTTACAACCATGGCCTCAAGGAAATCCACAGACTAAATGGAGAGATGGTGAATCAAAGTCAGGACAAGTTAAGTACTGTGGGTGCGGCTCTTTGTGAGCCCTGTTGGGAGATCAGGGAATGCTGATTAGAGGAGGTGGCATGTGAGCTTCGCCTGAAAGAGGGGTAGGATTTGCAGCTGAGGAAGTAGGTGGGAAAATTTTTCCCCTTGAGCAAACCCAAAGAGGGAGGAGGGTGTTTTAGGGAAACACAAAGGTCATTCAGATAATTTGTCAGTAATTGCCAGGGGTCAGACAAGAGTGACTCTCATTACCACAAACATACATGAAGTTTCTCTTTCTTTCTCCCTACTGCACCCTCCTTGTGCCTAAAGAAATGTTTTGCAAGGTTATAATAACCAGACTTTGTCCCGTAAAGGACAGCATGGGAGAGCCCCGTGTAGAGTGGCACCCTGGCCAGACAGTCTCATAGGGTTTTTGGTTCTTCATCCTCCAACCCAAAAAAATGCACACACGGGACCCTCCATGTAAAGGTCCCTCTGCCTGTCAGCCATGTCCTGGGGAGGAGCCTGGAGAAGCCAGTCATGAGCTTCTAGAAGGTGAAGACACTGCAGGTGAGCTGCCTTGCTCCATCAGCAAGATAAGTTAGTCCTTCATATCATTTACCTGTTGAGTCAACATCTATTGTAGATGTGGAACCCATAGAGGGATCTGGCATCTCTGTCATGGAAAGAGAGAGAGTGCCATCGTGAGGGGTCTCCTCATGCCTCGTTCCTCTTTGCTAGACCCTGTCTCAGACACAAGGTCCTCCTCGCTACTGGAGCTTTAGTTCTTAATGCCAGAGGTCCAGTTTAACCTGGATCATTTCTTTCGCGCGCGTGCACGCGCGCACACACACACACACACACACACACACACACACCCCTAGAGTCTTAGCAGGTCTTGTAAATTGGTTATAGATGAAATAAAACTCCCGACTGAACAATGCTAAGGCAAATAGGTCCCTTCCTGTCCGACATTGTCAGATGTGCTCTGAAATGACTGTTTTCATCATCTATTCTGAGCCATAACCGCCCCAGAAATAGCTTTAGCAGGAAAGTGCTTTTGTTAGACTAGCTGTAAATTATATTTCAAACGTCTGATGTTGTTTTCTTTAAAAAATAAATAAATAAGTAAATGAAAGTCTAAAATTAATGACTGCTGGGGTTTGCTTTGCTTGTGTGTACTGCTACGGATTTGGCTTCTTGCAGATGGAATTTCAGATCTGTTTACACTTCTGTGTTAGCTTTGAGGGGGGAGCAGTTGAGAGATCTGGGAGGACAAATTTACAAAGTCGAACTTATTATAAGCATCGGTGAGGCTCGCGTCTCTCTCCTGCTGCCCTTGCCCGCCCTCCTCTCCACCTTGCCCTCATTTTGTTTATTGTGGTTTCATCTGCTCCGCCTCCAAGTTCGAAGGCAACTGGTTCTTGCAGATGTTCTGACAAGGTCACATATCCAGTTTTGCAAGCAGATGTTCATTCAGCCCCATTTCACCAGCGCTTTGTCATTCAGCGAGAGCAGACCTTGTGGGAACAGATTGGAGCAGCACAAAGGATGGAACATAAAAAATCTCGCAGAGAACCTGATCGCTTTTATGCGCTCACGAAGAAGGGGGTGAGGTGGGGAGGGTGCCAAGGAGAGAAATCCACAGAGCAGAATTTTATGGGTGGGTTTTTTTTTATTTATTCAAAGATTATTATGTGTTGGATACAGTAAATCATCTATACACCCACACCCAGGAGGTAAATCTCCAGAACTCTAAGCGTGGGTAGTTCTGCATTTAACAGCTGCAATACAGTAGCTATTTTATTCTGCACTTAGAGACCCTTATCTGTGCATTTGTTTTAAGTTATTGTCAGCTCTCCTTTTGTTCCTCTATTGCTGTTCTCCTGGTTCTCATTACTATTACAAGGGAAGCTAAAATCTGAGCTCCTGAGTTATTCAAACGGACACCATGAGTTAGAAAGGTAGATGAGGCATTCTCGTCTTGGTGGAAGACTTGGTCTCGCTACTCGGAAGGTGTTGCCTCTAATGGATTTAGCTCCTTTTGTTGTTTCCTAGGTCTCCTATGCCCGCCCGAGCTCTGCCTCAATCAGGGATGCTAACCTCTATGTTAGCGGCCTTCCCAAAACCATGACCCAGAAGGAACTGGAGCAGCTTTTCTCGCAATATGGCCGTATCATCACCTCCCGGATCCTGGTTGATCAAGTCACAGGTTAAGTGTTTCTTTGTCGTTCCTTTCCTTGGGTCTCAGTGTCACCAGCCAGAGCCCTGTGACCCATAGGAGCAGAGGGGTAATGGTTACGTAGGGTAGAAGATATGGGTCATGAGTGGACAGATTTTTGATGTAAGAGAAAGACTTCTTCTCAATCAACTCCCCACATTGAAAGTGGGCCATCTCAGGAGGCAGGAGCCCTCCACCATGGGAATCAGTCCAGCAGCAGCTGATCTACTTGGCAGGGCTGTGAGGACGATTCAGGCACTGGGTTGAGAGTGGAACTATATGACCTTCAAAGTCTCTTTCAACCCTCAACCAGGTAACATTACATTTGTGTGTGAAAAGAACCTGTAGGTATCGCTCTAGCCCCGATGTTAGCCCCCATAGAGTGAGAGGGAACTTCACACTGGCCCCTTTCACACAGGAGAAAACAGAGGTCCAAAGTGGGGGATCTGACTTTGGTCCAGCTAGTCAGAAGCAGTGCAGAGATATGAATCCAGGGTCCAATAGTGAGGGACTTGGTCCACACTAAAGAAAGGCAACCACCACCTCTCAGTAAGAAATGCGAGGCACCCCCAGATTTCATTTTTTTTTAATATATTCTATTGACTTTTTACAGAGAGGAAGGGAGAGAGATAGAGAGTCAGAAACATCGATGAGAGAGAAACACCGACCAGCCGCCTCCTGCACATCCCCCACAGGGGATGTGCCCGCAACCCAGGTACATGCCCTTGACCGAAATCGAACCTGGGACCCTCCAGTCTGCAGGCCGACGCTCCATCCACTGAGCCAAACCGGTTTCGGCCAGATTTTATTTTTAATGACAAAATGTTTTCACCTCCCAACTTGCTCTCAATTTAAAACATCCCCAGGAGCAGTTCAGCATGTGCTTCTCCTTCAAGTCATGCAACAAACCTTCACTGAAGCTGCTGTGCCACAGACACTGTGCAGAGGGACACCAGGGTCCAGAGACGAAGGAAACACTGGGGTCCAGGGTGGAGGAGGCACAGTCCTTATGGGACTCCTGTGTGATGAGCACCTGCTAGAGGCTGTCCAGTGCACTGTGAGAGCTCAGGGCACCTGCTAGAGGCTGTCCAGTGCACCATGAGAGCTCATGACACCTGCTAGAGGCTGTCCAGTGCACCGTGAGAGCTCAGGAGAAGGCGTGCTGTGCCTGCTGGAAATTGTTGGGAAGGCTCCATTGAGGTTGCAAAGTTTGAACAGGGATTTCGAAGATGACTTGCAGTTATCTGGCAGGCAGATAGGATGCGTCCTATAGCATAGGCGAATAGGGTGCAGGTCAAGGAATGAAGTCGAGGAAGAACTCAACCTGCCCTGGGAACATCTGGCAGCTCAGCATGGCTGACCTGAGGCTCAACAGGGGTTTGGGGGCAGGATCATCAGGGATATTAAATGCCATCCCAAGAAGCCTGAACTTTATCTATTTGCAACATGGAGCCATGGAAGGGTTTGGGGTGGGGTGGGGGCTATTTGTTATTCTGTGTTTGGAGTGGGAGGCAATAAGGAACAGAGACCATGCACAAGGTAAAAACTTGAAAAGGTACAAAAAAAGGTATAGAAGATGATTTTAAAGGGTGTAATGTGGCCAGAGTTTGCTCTTCAAATAGATTACTTGGTTGCTAGCTGTGGAAGATCCTCTGGAGGGTGAGACATTGGACAGTGGGTGATCAGTCACAGCAACTACAGGGAGATGAAGATTGAGCAGGGAGGTGTAGGAGGGCTGGAAGTGGCAGACGTGAGAGATGCCTGTGTTCTGTGGGTGGAAGTTACCTGTTCAAAGCCATGATGGCAGAAATGCAGGCAGGGGCGTTTTGGTGAGTGTGTGATATTCAGGGAGCCAGGCTCAGCCCTGGCCCCATCAGTGGGCTGATTCCCCACGGAATGTCCTTGGGGCCCAGTCATTTCTTTCTGGAGGGTTTCTTACCAGTTTGGTTTGTTCACTCTTTATTAAGGTTCTTTCTCTTTCCCCAGGAGTGTCCAGAGGGGTGGGATTCATCCGCTTTGATAAAAGGATCGAGGCAGAAGAAGCCATCAAAGGGCTGAATGGCCAGAAGCCCAGCGGTGCTACAGAACCGATTACTGTGAAGTTTGCCAACAACCCCAGCCAGAAGTCCAGCCAGGCCCTGCTCTCCCAGCTCTACCAGTCCCCCAACCGGCGCTACCCTGGCCCGCTTCACCACCAGGCCCAGAGGTTCAGGTAGGGGTGCCCACGTGCCCATTCGCCTGGCTACCTGGGTACAGAGCTGGGTGAGGGTGAGGGAAGCCCATGGCCCTGAAGGATGGGGCAAGGGTAAGAACCTCTGCCTCCTGGAATCACTGTGCAAAAGTCCCCTCCCCTCAGCCTCAGTTTTCACTCCCGTCAAATGAGATGATTGGATCTTCCAATCCCCCTTTCAACTTACCACCATGACTGTGGTTAAACTGCAGATTCCTTGGCTTAAAAAGAATTTCTGTATTTAACCAAATAAGGTTCAGGTTCAACAGGAGTTCATCACAGGTGTGACTGAATTTGGCAGCGTAGACTTAAGGTTAAGGCAGTGGCTTTCATAAAGTGAAAGGAACGAGCAGGTCAGGAGGCACATCCTTGCCAGAGAGAGTGGGTTGGCCTGTCCTCCTCTTTGTTCTGCAGGTAACTGCTGGGTTAGGTGCGCAGGTGTGCTCCCGTTTGTGTTAACTTTGCTCTCACTATGACGTCAGCAGTCCCTGGGAAAAGGAGGAAGATGTGTCCCAGCCTCATCAGTGTTTCCTTTAGGTACCCCAGCCCCTGGGGAGCTCCTGGTGCAAGGGGGACATTCCCTTTCTCCTGGGACTGTTCTGAAAGGCAGGTTTCTCTCCAGGAAGGCAGTTCGAGTTTGAACGGCCTCCACTGTGCAAGTGATAAGAATATTCTTGACCTACCCATAATAATTCTAAATAATTTTACTCCACCCATGTCCCAACTTCCCTTTAATGAAAGGTTCTTCTCCTTTTCAAACATCACATGGGGAGAGAGCCCGCCCTTCCATCTGGCCACACTGAGAAGGAAAATCAGCCCCTGCAGTGTCCTCCCGTGCCCTTGAATGGGAAATGGTTAATGATTTCACGAAGAGACCAAGTCATCTAATTTTTATTTTGTGCGAGAGCACATGCAGTGTTTATGTAAAAAGCCTTTCCAGCAGGCTTCTAATGGCGGAAACTATGGTTACTACTGCCCCGTGGTGTGAATAGCTTGTCCCCAAAAGGTGCTGGGCATGAGAGAGATAATAGCTTATAACAGAATAGCAGTTTACCAGGAGGTGTTTTCCGGTTGCACATAGTAAGCTGATTTTTTAAAAATCTTAACCTCAAAACTCCTCCTACCCGCCCCCAAAAATGTGTGTAATAAGATTCAGTTAATGTAGCTAGACGAGGAGAAAAGCTCCATTCTGATATGCATTGTGTGTGCGCATGAATTGTTAATATGAGACCTTTATTCACAAGTTTCACTATAATAAAATGTGAACAACTTAAGAAGCCGCCTCTTTTAACAATTTCACACCCAATGTAAAATAAAGTACACACAAATGTCCTGAAAGGTGGGGGGCGGGATTCATTCAGGCCTTGAAAGAAAGGGAGATTCATGAGACACTTGCTTTAAACTCCAGCATTGACCTGAACATGAATTCCTTGTAATGGAGGCAGGAAAGCGGTGGATAGGCTCCTGAGCACTGGGGCAAGTGGCTGAGCTTTTCTTTTTTGAAAATGGAGCATTCTTATTAATAGTTCCATTGAGCGATCTTGCCATCTGTGAGGCATTAACCCAGAGACCCTCCTTCTCTTTGCAGGCTGGACAATTTGCTTAATATGGCCTATGGCGTAAAGAGGTAATTAAAACTCCACAGATTGCCAGATGTCCGTGTTGGCACAGACTGGGGCTAGGATTTTTTTTTTTTAATTCACTAACTTTACTTTTTTTTTTAATTCTTCCTTTTTTCTTCCACCAGCATGTCCAATTCTTAATTTTCATTTCGGACCTCAGTTGGTTTGTTTCTTTTAGGGCACACAACGTGTGTTTGTGTGTTTCACTTTTTCTTTTATTTGCAGACGGGCTCTTCCTATGGTTCAGGTGCCACAGCTACCGAGCCCTTGATAGTCGGGTCCTCCGAGTGGCTTCCCTCAGGGGAAAGGCTCCAACTCTGCCAGCTGATTTTGCAAACTTGCAGAGCAAACTGTTTTTGCATTTAGCAATGCCAAGATTCCGTTAAGAGGGCAAATTCCAGCAAATCAGTATTAGAACGTTTTGTTAATCACGGTTGACAATCTTATGATTGCCAGTGGAAAAATTAGATTTTGGACTACCAGCCCCTGGCCAAAGCATGCATACATGCATGGATGACCTTCTGCGTCCTGCCCCCATGCCTTCCCTCATTGTGCCTTTGAGGGCACAACCTGAGAATGAAGTGTATCTGTGTGCACCTCAACCAGGGTTTTGTGTGTTTTTTTGTTACAGGTTTTAACAGTTATTATCAATCCTCCCGTGATTATATATGTATGTGTGTTTTAAACTTGCTGTTTTGTTCACTTAAAGCCTGTTTGTGAGTTCGGGGGCTGAAATAGAGTCGAAGCTTTTGGAGCTCTCTGAATGCAGCACAGGGGTGCTCCAGACCCAATCTGAAAGCTGATCTCAGGAAGTCGAGTGCATTATGTCACTGTGTCCATGAGATTCCCAAATGTTCTTTTGATAAGCCCCACTGAGCTGCTAGGGACATAGCATCTTCATCATCCTGCTCAGTAGAGCTGCACACTGTAATTCCCCTTCCTACAGTCAAGGGAAGGAGATGTGGTCTTTAACAGTCCACACCACACCCCCTGCGCGAGGCATTTCTTTCCCTTGGCCATGCATCGTAAGTATCCTGACCATGGGAACAGGCACACAGTGAAGGATGTTACCTTGACAGCAGACTCCGCTATCAGAGCTCTGGTCTCTCCAATCTCAGTCCTGGTACCAGGAAGGGGATGATCTCCAGGTGCCTAGCACACTGCTTGCCTGTTCCCACGCGTTTTACATTTTTCCCCAGCTCTTTGTCCCTGACCTTTGATACCCTCTAGCAGATAATATGATGAGAGAGAGATGCCCATACATAGAGGGGGCCAGGAAAGACACAGAGGCAGCATGCGTGGCTGCCACCTCCTCCAGGTCCCCACCCCCAGTAAACATCACTGGTTGATAAAAGCATTCATTCTCTTGTCCTGTTAAACCCAAATTTGGACCCAGAATCCTTTCTACCAAAGCACTCCAGGTAGCCATAACCAACTAGAGTTGAAACCTCTTTGCTGACCCTGACTTTGGCCTTAACATAAACACTTAACTGTTCTCTACCTATAAACTTGAGTGAGGTCAGTTCATTCGGTTGAAGGAGAAAAGGTGAAGACAGTCTTCAGAAATAATGCAAATAACACTTAGATGTGGATTTGCCCTTCTAAGAATCTATACAATGCTATTTTTGGTGTTGTCTTGTTATTCGTTTTTAAGCAAGAGGGAAGAAGACTTGAGCACTTCTGGAGTAATCCTTTAATCTACCTTAAAAATTAAATAAAATTTCCTAAGTTTTGACTTCCACCAATGTTACTCACTCATTCAATCAATAAACATTTATTGAGTTTCTACATGTCACTATGTGATATTCCTATATGTGCTTCACTGAATAATTAAATGGAGCAACAGAATGAATGAAATCAAGCCCCTTCCCCAAGAACTCACTGTCTACTGTGGGGAGGGAGGATAAGGGTCAGGGTGGATACCCTATGAACATATTCTGTGCTAGAGCTATGATAGAACCTTGCTATGGGAGTTCCTTGTGGTTTTTAGGAACTGACCTAGGCCTTTCTCTTAACATATACGTGCCTCAGCCAACCTAGCCATTCCCATCAGAGGAAATGCCACAGACATGAGTTTTTGCATTTTGGTTTTTAAACCCTGAAGACTCTCCTGCAAACACTCACTCAGCCCTTTGCCCCGTGTCTGTGTCTGTGCATCTCTGTGTTATCCTTGGTCAGACTGATGTCTGGACCAGTCCCCCCTTCTGCTTGTCCCCCCAGGTTCTCCCCAATCACCATTGATGGGATGACAAGTCTTGTGGGAATGAACATTCCTGGTCACACAGGAACAGGCTGGTGCATCTTTGTCTACAACCTCTCCCCCGATTCCGATGAGAGTGTCCTCTGGCAGCTCTTTGGCCCCTTTGGCGCAGTGAACAACGTCAAGGTCATCCGCGACTTCAACACCAACAAGTGCAAGGGATTCGGTTTTGTCACCATGACCAACTATGACGAGGCCGCCATGGCCATTGCCAGCCTCAACGGGTACCGCCTGGGAGACCGAGTCTTGCAAGTTTCCTTTAAAACCAACAAAGCCCACAAATCCTGAATTTCCCATCCTTAATTATTAAAAAAATATATATATATATAAGTATATACGAACAAAACACATGTGTGCACACACACACACACACACACACACACAAGAGAGAAAGAGAAACAAACCTTTCAAGGCTTATATTCAACCATGGACTTTATAAGCCAGTGTTGCCTAAGTATTAAAACATTGGATTATCCTGAGGTGTACCAGGAAAGGATTTTATAATGCTTAGAAAAAAAACAAAAACAAAAAAAATACCTTTGATGCATTGAATGTTCTTTCATAGCTGTCGTTGTTGAATATAATATACATAGATAGCGATGTGCAGGGATTTTTACCCAGCCAGCTAACTTTACTACCTTCCTTGAAGGTGGGTCTTTTTAAGATGACCATTCGCTCATTTGAAGAAGAAAAATAAAAAACAAAAAAAATAATAAAAATAAAACAATTTTTACAAAGTAATGGGATTCAAAGAAAGGAAAAAAAAGATTTTTCTTTTTTGTCAAAATGTTGATCCACTCAGATTGGTAAAAAAAAAAAAAAAATACCCACACAAATTAAAGAGGAATAATAAAAATTGCAAAAATGAAAAAAAAACTTTTGCAAATTTTTTTATTTTTCCTTTTTTCTTTTATATCATGTGAACTAAAACAGTCTTCTGTTAGGGGATGGGGGCCAGGGGGATACCTGATGACATTAACAATTTAATAACATTAACATTGTTGCCAAAGAGGTGGTCTCTTTGCTGAAAATGGGTTTCAAGAAAAATCTATTTTTATAAAATATAAAGAATTTTTACAAGAGAATCTGGATTTGAGAAAAAATATTTTGACTGGCTAATTTAGGGGAAATTGACAACTTTGTCGCGTTCATACTGCACTGGTAACTTTTTAGAGATCAAGATGTGTGTTTTAAACTGGATTCGTAGACTGTTTTTTGAAGGATGGGCTATAAACAGATGATCTTCATATCTTTTCATAGCATGTAATAATAATTAAAAAATTATTAATTACTAGGGGAAAGGAGTGTTCGTTCTACCCAGGGTACCACAGTTCCCCACAGTCAAAACCCAAAAGCAAGGAGATGAGTTGAAAGACAGTTTTTCCTTTAAGTCATCAGTATGGGATGTCAGCAGAACAAAAATTTAAAAGATTACTTTTCCTTTTGATCTAAAACTTTCTTAGTCTGAGCAGTAGGTGCTACGAAATTATTTACATATCTTAGTATCATAGTTAAATGTAATGTGTTTAGGAAAGGAAAACAAAAGATACATTTGCTTTCAATTCATTAAGGAATTTTCAAATTCACTTTGTAGCCCATGCTGATAGAATTGGGCTGTGTTGGTACATTTGAGACACTGTTTTTGTTGCTTGAAACACTTATTTATTTAATCGCTGATGTGATGATGCCTATGGCCGAGATCAAATATAGCTAGATTGGCTAGACTACTTATTTGTTTACTTAAACTATGGGAAGAAGCATATTATTGTGTCATTCTGTTGTGTGTGTATGTGTATATACAATATAAATATATATATATAAAGTTATTTTTCTTTGGGTTAATTTATTATAAGTTGTAACACTTGGCTAGTTTTGTTTGTAATGTCTTAAAATGTTTTCTTATGCTATTTAAGTGACAGTTAAAGAGGTATCAAGGTAACTTGTGTAGAACTATTGTTTGGTATATTGTCATGTTTATTGTGAATATTTTTTTCTTACTGCACAGTAGAAAAATAAAAACAACTGGGTCTTTATTTTCATGTAATTCAGATTGGGGGAAACAAAACAGAGCTAAGGGAACAAAATGACTGAGGGAGCATTCTCCCATGTCCAGTGCACTGATCATTTTAGTACGTTTGTGCTTTGTACGGTTCTATATTTAAAACAAAAACAAAACAAAAAAATACAAGGGTTCATGCTCTTCCCTGGGTAATAGAAACAGTTACTCGCTATGCATAATCTAGTTGATAGTTAAATTTGCTATTGCTTTTCTTGTCTTGTTATATAAAACCTTTTCAATACAAGTTTAGTCTTAATGGTAATAAAATGTTATGGTTATTTATAACTTGTGCTTATTTTGTGCGTTTTTTCCCCATGCTGAACCCACTAAGTGCATGCAGACAGACTGCTGTTTTCACACTGACGAGGCGAACTTTGTAGTAGTCGTGGTAGTATAGAGAGTACCGAAAAACAAGGCTGCATCGTAGACTCCTCCTTTACATTTTTTTAAATTTTTCCTCTTTTTTATTTTGGAAAAAAAAAAACACCACACAAAACAGATTTCAGTTCAGAGAACACTCGTTCAACATTCAGGGAAACCTTTTTACATCATCTGCTATGAATGAATGCAGTTTGCTGGCAAAGTTTTGATGCATTTGCTAAGTAAGCATAGTGGGAAAGGCATGCCAAAACCTCTCCTCTATAATGTGTTCACGCTGGGGGGGAAGAAATCTTAGGACCAGGCAGTTGTATACTTTAGTTATAATGAATGACTTCATGTTAATCTTGCTAGTTTAGATGATTTCTGAGGGAAAGTATTGTAACTGGTTCTTTTTCCATAACCTTGTTGTGTTTGAATTATTTGTACTTTATCTGTCCAGACAATAAATGAAAGTGTGTAGAATGGATCTGAGCTTCCCAGATTTTTAAATGTGTTCATTCAAACTTTTTTTTTTCCTGTAGCATCTTCAGCTTTCCCCAGTATTTTTATCATTAAACAAACAAAAAAGGTAGAGTAAAACTCTGTTTCGCTAAGTTGCAAAAGTCAACTCAGTATTCAAAAGTCATTGCCCTAGTTCCGTGGCACTAAAAGTATGATCTCCAACCGGCAGTATCCGCAGCGTCTGGGAGTTGTTAAAATGCAGACTCTTGGGCCAAATGCGAATCTATATTTAACCAGAATCCCAGGTGAATCGCCGGTACTTTACAGTGTGAGGAACACTGCCTTGGTTGATAAGAAGCTGGCACATTGGCCGTTATTTTGGCATTGTGCTACATTCGTGCCTGTTCCTCAGTTATAAGCATACTTGTGACTTGTTCAGGTGAAAGGGAGTCACCATTTTCAGAGCATTGATTGTTATAGGCTGTGTGGTGGCCTCTGCTTTCTCTCAGTTTCTCCTCCAGCAATCTGGGAGAAGGAGATAGCACTGCCCTCATTTCACAGATGATAATATTGAGGCTCAGTGAGATCAAGTTACTTGAAATAGCCAGCAAGTTTCCCACTGGAGTCTGAATCCACCGGATTCTCCCGCACAGCGCCTCGGGTGTGAGAGGCGGAGCTTGAGCGTAATTAAGGGAACGTACCATTTGTACTCGGAGTGACAGCTAAACAAGAAAGGTCACCTTCTTATTCTCGCATTCAATTTTGCTTAGAAGCAGCATATATTTGACTTTCTTACTTTTGAATAGAAACCGTAACCAAGGACTTATTCAGACAGTGAATAAAGAACATGATTGAAACTCAACCTAGGGAGGAAGAGCTGCCTAAGGTATCATGAAGTCATATTGAAATATGCCCTGAACTTTACAGATGAGCTTTTTAGTGGTTTCCTGATACAATCACTCACTGAGGACCTACTGTCTGCCTTTCACTTTCATTTTCTCATTAATTGAAAATTCATAATCCCCGTAAAATATCACCATCCATAAACTGACACTTGAAGCAGAAATACCCCCAATGAAGTAGATGAAGGAAGAGTCAGGTTCTCTTTCCTTTCTCATTAGCCCCTTTATTATTATTATATTAAATTACCTCAGTGGCTAGGATAATTAAATTCAGGGCAAAGAATGGTACCTAATTAGCCAAGCTAAATATTAGAACTCCATTAGCCTGAACTTCACATAGTTGAACTTAAAGGTTTTTATTTTAGTTTTATCTTAAAGACAAGGCCCTGTGTTTCTTTTCTGAAGAAAACTGAGCATTCAATCTAATGATTGCCCACATGAACAACAGAGCTTCACAAACGTGTATGATGTCTAAAAATATTGAGTGCACTTGAGTGGATACACTACTTCAGAATATTGGAAGTTGGTGGAATCTTACTAGGTCCATACAGTTCATTCCCCAGCCTCCAGCAGATCTATCCGGAAAGTTACACAAAAAACTGTGAGTATTTAAATAGGTCTTTAAAATATCCATAGAAGGACATTCTGCTTATACTCTCTTGGCAACACTTCCCAGTACCAGCACAACGTGCCTGCCTACCATCTAATGAAACATTCATCTTGCTGCGAGTGTGAGCCTGTTACCTTCTATCTCCAAGCAAATATTATATGTTTGTTGGAAAGGTCTAACAAATCACAAGAATGCAGGGATTATTAAATTTCTTTTAGGTCCTCGGTACATTATATTGTGCTGAGATGAAAAATTGCATGCCAGAGAAGGCTGAAGGCATTTAGTTAGTGTTATTTCTGTCAAAGAGATAGGAAGGGAAAAGAATCAAAAGCACGTGATTGTGTCTGTAACCATTCCATATCATCACTGCCAGCATCAGAACTGCTCATGTAGGTCACCCAGGATCAAATACCGACCTGGCGATGTGTACAGCCGGAAATTTTCACCAACTCAGGTCCTGTTTGTTTTCTTAAAATATATTCTTATTGATTTCAAAAACGGATAAAGAGAGAGAGATAGAAACACCAATAATGAGATAGAATCATTGATTGTCTGCCTCCTGCACACCCCACACTGGGGATTGAGCCTGCAACCCAGGCATGTGCCCTGACCGGGAATGAAACCTTGACCTCCTCCGGTCAATGAAACATTGACCTCATAGGTCAATGCTCAACCACTGAGCCATGCTGGCTGGGCGAGGTCCTGTTTACATTTCTTTAATCAACACCAATCATTATTTGTTCGCATGTAAATAAAACATTTAAACCCCAAAGAACATTTGTGGTTTAAAAGTACATTTGTGAGTTTAAAAGTACAATTGAAACAAAGTCTTGTGAGGCCTCTACTCAGTATTTGGGTCTGGCTACCCTAACCTTGTCAAAATTGAGCACTTAATCGTCTTTGCCATAGATGACTCAGGAAACTTCCTGTTCTCATTGTTGTTGGCCCTTCCTCTCTGTAGATACCGCGCACGTGTTCCTTAACAGACTCACAGGCACACACACCGAGGCAAGCATTTGTACAATTAAATAGGAGATGGGGGTTCTTGCTTTCATCTGCAAATTTGAAAACCATACCTGGCCAGACAGTATTAAAGGCAAGAGGGTGTTTTCTAAACAGAAAAGTCATTAAAATCTTAATGTGAGGCCATTCTGCCTGGATCCGTTCCACAGACTTCACAGAGCACAGCTATATAATATCCTTACACCCTTCACTGCCTTTGCTCTACCTGGAAAAGAGAATCATAAAAGGAAATTACGCTTTATTTCTAGGAGCTAAAATCAAGTTTTAATATTGTCCAAAAATGACACATACCGTTCCTTTATCTTATTAGTTTTTTGGCATATTGGGTAATAAGATAATTTCTCAT